TAGTATTGGCAGTGCGTTTACCAAGATGACTCACGAAATCGTAATGACACGATTACAAACAAACCATACCATGGGTGGGGTTAGAACCCGCGGTCAATGAGTTTTAAGACTCCCTGATCGCGGGTTCTAACCCTGCCCGTGGTATGGTTTGTTTACCAAGATAATGTGTCAATGGTTTGGCTAGGCTGAAGGAATCCTTGTTCCGTCCGCTAGTGTCACCAACGTCAAAGACCTGGGAGTGATTATGTCGGAGGATCTCACCTTCAAGGACCATAACATTGTATCAATCGCATCTGCTAGAAAAATGACAGGATGGATAATGAGAACCTTCAAAACTAGGGAGGCCAAGCCCATGATGACACTCTTCAGGTCACTTGTTCTATCTAGGCTGGAATATTGCTGCACTCTAACAGCACCTTTTCAAGGCAGGTGAAATTGCCGACCTAGAAAATGTACAGAGAACTTTCACGGCGCGCATAACGGAGATAAAACACCTCAATTACTGGGAGCGCTTGAGGTTCCTAAACCTGTATTCCCTGGAACGCAGGCGGGAGAGATACATGATTTATACACCTGGAAAATCCTAGAGGGACTAGTACCGAACTTGCACACGAAAATCACTCACTACGAAAGCAAAAGACTTGGCAGACGATGCACCATCCCCCCAATGAAAAGCAGGGGTGTCACTAGCACGTTAAGAGACCATACAATAAGTGTCAGGGGCCCGAGACTGTTCAACTGCCTCCCAGCACACATAAGGGGGATTACCAACAGACCCTTGGCAGTCTTCAAGCTGGCATGGACAAGCACCTAAAGTCAGTCCTGATCAGCCGGGCTGTGGCTCGTACGTTGGTTTGCGTGCAGCCAGCAGCAACAGCCTGGTTGATCAGGCGCTGATCCACCAGGAGGCCTGGTCACAGACCGGGCCGCGGGGGCGTTGACCCCCGAAACTCTCTCCAGGTAAACTCCAGGTGTTTACCTGGAGTTTTACCTGGAGAGAGTTCCGGGGGTCAACGCCCCCGCGGCCCGGTCTGAGACCAGGCCTCCTGGTGGATCAGAGCCTGATCAACCAGGCTGTTGCTGCTGGCTGCACGCAAACCAACATACGAGCCACAGCCCGGCTGATCCGGAACTGACTTTAGGTGCTTATCCAGTGCCAGCTTGAAGACTGCCAGGGGTCTGTTGGTAATCCCCCTTATGTGTGCTGGGAGGCAGTTGAACAGTCTCGGGCCCCAGCGATGATCGCTGAATTCCAGGCACTGTCACTGCGATCTATACATATATGATCGAAAAATAGTATCCTCTGTTTTACTTAAATGAATCCTGAGCGAAACGTTGACCATATAAAACGTTTTCATAGCCATAGCTGTCAGCATGACGCCCCTATATCCTCAATATGATGAAGGAGACTTACACAGGAACCAGGAAGGTAGGAACATATAGTAGAAGTATTGCCGACACCTCAGTATTATTATTATTACAACGAGCACGCAGAATTTACCTCCTACGTCGTCTCCGCTCTACTACTCTCTCTTTACCTTCCCTTCTTGCTGATGGACCCTCCTTTAATCCTGACTCTCTCATTGACTTCTTGACAATAACTGATTTACTCCACAAACTCTGATGATGATACCTTTCGCACTCCCCTCAGTCCTTCCTAGCTCAGTCTCTTGCTGCCCTTTACCCTTTCACCATCCACTGCCCCGCTGTTATCCGTAACCTATTACTCATTCACCTCCCTTTTGCCACCTGATACCCTCGCTTCCTTCCTGCCCTGCAGCGCTGTATAGCCCTTGTGGGTTAGCGCTTCTTTTTGATTATAATAATAATTATTATTACAACTAAGCGCTAAACCCACAAGGGTCGTACAGCCTTGCTGCTGATACTTCAGAGGGGAAAAGTACGTATCAGTCCTGGGATCTCAATCACTTTAAATAGAAAGGTTTCCCGAGTGAATGAATTTGTAAGAGAGAGTTGCTATTGCAGATGTTACGTAATTTAGTGTTATTTACTATCCTGTGGAATATATACATTTCTGACTGTGTATTTGATAGGTCTTAAAGTGTCTTGTGTTCAGATTTATTGCATCTAGTAAATTTTCATGTTATAATAATAAAAATAATAAAATAATAATAAAAAGTAGGGGCGCCATTGGTACACTAAGAGAAAACACCATAAGTGTCCGGGGCCCAAGACTGTTCAACAGCCTCCCATCAAGCATTAAGGGAATTGCCAATAAACCCCTGGCTGCCTTCAAGAGAGAGCTGGACAGATACCTAAAGTCAGTGCTGGATCAGCCGGGCTGTGGCTCGTACGTCGGACTGCGTGCGGCCAGCAGTAACAGCCTAGTTGATCAGGCCCTGATCCATCGGGAGGCCTGGTCATGGACCGGGCCGCGGGGGCGTTGATCCCCGGAGTAACCTCCAGGTATATATGAATGGTATACAGTATACAGATGTGCCACATCTGTATATGTTTATTGTAGACTCTTCACCATCCAGTGGCCTTATTAATTACAAATTCAAGGACATAATGGGAGGACTGTAGAACTGTAAACAAAAGACGAGGTAGTCAGTCCCTCAGTCTTGGAGTTAGTATTTAGACATTGTATTTCTATTAAGTTTTCAAATGTCTTGTGTCTAGATTTAGAAATATTGTGTATTGTTAAATATTGTATTTGTTTGTTAATATTGTAATGTAACATACTTCCAACGAGTTATTGAAGTTG